GGCGGGCGGGGCTCGGCACCTGCCGCCGCTGGGGGGGGGCGGGCGGAAGCGGTTCGCGCGAGGATGGCCGAGGCCGCCCCGTGTCGGCGCCCGGGCGCAGGGACGGCCCACGGAGCGGGCCTCGGCCGCGCTCACGCGTGCACACGCGAGGTGCCTGATGGCCCGCAGACGTCCGGCCACAGACGCGCTCGGGGCGGCCTGCGCGCCCCGCAGGGGGCGTGGGGCGCCCAGGCTGGGATGCCTCCGTGCGCGGCCCCCGCGCGACACCGCTGCCTGGGCGCGCGAGCGGCGCGGCTCCCGCCTCCCGCGCGGCTCTCGCCGCCCCCGGACTGCGGCCCCGGGAAGCGCGCGCCGTCCCGCGCACGGAGATCTCTTGGGCCGCTTTCCCGCAGCCGGGCGGGCTCTGGCGCAGAGGCGGCCCGCCAGGGGCCAGATTCTGCAGGTGCGTCCGGGACCGGGGAGGAAAGGCCGCGCAGCGCCGAGGTTTGCCCCTCTCCGTGGCCGCTCGGAGGGCTGGCCGCCGCTCGGTCCCGCGCACTGCTGCCCCGCGCAGCGGCCTCCCGGGAGGAAAGTGCGGTGCGCGGCAGAGCGCAAGTCCTGCGCCGGGTGAGGGATCATCGTTGCCGCAGCCCCGCCGTGCGCGGCTGCCCGCTGGCCAAGCAGCGCCCTCCGCACGGCGTGGCCGGTCTAGCGGTCCTCGCCTCCCGCCGGGCTCGCTCGCTCTGCTGCCTTAACGGCTGGTCGCGGCCTGAGGGCCCACTGGGCCGGCGGCCACGCTTGGCAGGGAGCCGGAACCGTGCAGGACGCCTCCCGCGCCAAAAGCCCCCTTGCATCGTGCTCGAGCGCCGCCTTCGCCTTGGCCGGGATGGGGCAGCGGGGGCAGCACCCCCGGCGGGCCTCGGGTGGCCGGTTGCGCCAGTGTGACGAGCGCCTGAGCTTCGGGAGCTAGGAATGGGCCTGGTTCTTGGCCTCTGCTGTCTCTCTGGAGGGATGCGTGTGTGCGTGCGAACAGGGGCCTCTCGGGCAGCCGGACGCGTGCAGCAGCCCCTCCTTTGGCGTGGGCTGCTGGGACCGTTTGCGTGCGTGTGCGCGTGTTGCGCTTTTTGCATGGCCAAGAGACACCATCAGTCTGCGCAGGAAGGTGACGTTGCGCAGCGGTTGCCAGCCTTGCTTCTCAGGGGCGCCACAGCACGCTCGCACCCATGTTCCCCAGCAGCAGATGTGCAGGGCAGACTGCCCCAGCTACTGGGGGTAGCGATGCTGGCTAGGGAATGCTGGGAGTTTGTAGGGCTTCCTTCCGTCCAGACATGCACGGCATTGTCCTAAAAGGCCCTCGGGAACCATCCTGGCTCTTTATCATGGGGGACAAACTTCTGAGTGGTTAGGAAGGGGTGGCTTCTGGGGACCCCCAACAGGCCAGGTTCTGGCCTCAGTAGTGCTGGATTTGGTCTCCCGGTCCCGAGACCGACATGTCTGCTTTAAGGTGCCACAAGGCTCACGCTCTTTTTGCAGTTAGAAATCTTCATGCCAGGTTACTGCTTAAAGGGCAGGGAGAGGGCTACTGATCGGTCAGCGAGGTTGCCTCCCGCTCCCTCTTCCATAAACTCCCCCTTTCCAACCTGGTCTGGGAGAAGCCCTGAGGGGTTCTTGGGCGCAGCCCTGTGGCTCTCCAAGAGACGGTCTGTAGCCCCACCAAGTGGCCCAGCTCGGGCTTGCAGCCAGTTTCACCGGTGCGGTTCTTTGGTAAGGGAGATCTTTGGCTAAGCTGTTTGTTAGGCTCAAGCCCCACTGATAAACTGGGAACCCAAGAAGAGCCCAGCTGGCCTGATCAAGAGAAACCCAGTGGCAGACCGTGGGAGGGGTCGCACCCTCCTCCCCAGGTTCCCCAGGCGGTCGCATGCAGTCATGAGGACTAATAGGCAAGTGTCTCTCTCTCCTCCCACGGATTGCCCATTCCCCTTTGAAGCAGTGCTATCGCAATGGCTGTGGGGAAGAAGCCATCGCTCTCCTCTCCGGAGGCAGGTGGAAGGTGCTTGTTACAGCCATATGTCTTTTCTGAGGCTGGACAAAGGACAGCCAGGCCCCCTCCCAGCCTTCCTGTGACAATGAAGCAGGTGGCGCTTGCCCTTCCTTTTATCCCTGCGTCTGGAAAGGGAAGCGCCACCCATTTCCTTTCGGCCCAACAGGCTGCCACTGCTGTGGAAGCCCGGGAGCAGGGCCGACCATCCCTGGCCAGCAGAGAGAGTCCCTCTTGAAGGGCGGGCCGCCTCTGGCCATGTTAGGTTTCGACACTCCGTTTCCAGGCAAGGGCAGGAAGTACAAAAACCAACAGAAGCATCCCCTGCGAAAGCAGGTGTCTGGTTTCACCCGGATGGCGCATTTGGCCGCACCGGCTTCCCTTCCACTCAGGGCCTCGGTGTCAGCCGCTGCGAAGGGCTTGATTAAGCTGAACGCAGGCGGCAGCCCCTCCCAGCAAGAGGCCATCAGAGACCACGGAGCTTCCTGGCTTGGCTGCCCACTTTGACGCTGGTGGGAAGGAAGCGGTGCCTGCCTGGGCAGCATCGGGGGCAGCGGTCAGGGGGCGGCCTCTCCTTGTATGTTGGGGAAAGACCACCTGAGACGCCTCTCCTGGCGAGGCTGCCCTGGTGCACCGTTGCTATGGAGACGGGAAGGTGGCAGGCCGGCCGCTGCAGCCCGGGCTGACCCGGATCTGTGCCTCTGATTAGGTGGGCTCTGAGCTCTTTGGTGAGCAGCTGGCCAGGGCAGGGGGGGATTATATGGATCGGCCTTCCTCCCTTCTCCACCCAGGGGACCTGAAGTGTCCTGGGTGGCTCCGGGGCCCAAGGCCAAGCCGGTGGCGAAAGCGGCTTGGGTTTGCATCAGGAAAGGAAGGAGAGGAGATTGGCATTCCTGTTCTTTTAAAATAGGCCGTGTATCCTTCCTAATCAGATTGGGAGGGTGGGATGAGCGATTGGCGTGCGGTCAGAGGTGATGCCACTGCGCTCCAGCCGAGAAAAATGGCAGAAAGATGGGGAGTCGGAAAGGGACTTGAGCCGCAACCTGGTCCCGGGCGTCTCCTGGTTCTGTGCATTTCGTCCCGCAGCCTGGAGATGTTTGCTCAGGAATAAGGCTGGGGAGCCTGTTCTGGGTGGCAGCCGTAAGGTGCATTTGGCCCCCGAGGGGGTGTCTTGTGCACCCCCCCCCCAAGGCAGAGGGTGAGCCTGAACATGCCGGCCCCCACGGAGCCTCTTGGGGTGTTGCATTCTCGGCTTAGACGGCCTCCTGCAGGGCAGCAACCAGCCCCCCCCCCCGAGCACCCATGACTCATTCTAGGCACTTCTGGTGCCCAAAGGGCTGTCATGGCATCCACACCTGGGGAGGCAGCTTCGCGGTGCGTTGCCCGCTGGGCCACGGGCAACTGCCTCCAGCAATGCCCGGGTGGCACTTGGGAGGGATGCCCAGAGCATCTCTGCGGCTGCTTATCTTGTTCCTGGCCATGATTTCAGCCCCAGAACATTGTTCCTGGCCTTTTCCAAGTGCTCTCCCATGCCTGCCGGACAGGGGCCGTCTCGCCTGGTCTGTCTCCGCATCTGTTTCAAAAGAGATACTTCAGTGGCTTTTTTGAGGCTCCAGAAAATGTATTTAAAATCCAGCAGCGAACAGAAAGAGGCCACTGGTTGGAGGGGGATGGAGGTGGCAGAGGAGACCAGGAACCGGCTGCAGCCTGACGGGAGAGGAGGGGGAAGACCAGCCACGGAAGCCCACCACGGCTCCTTCACTGGGGGCTAGCCTGGATGCATGAGCCCCCCTTGCCTCCTGGTGGGGCTGTGCTTTCCAGCGGTGCCAGGCCGTTCCACAAGCCCCGGGCCCAAGGAGCCGGTCCCGATGGCGCAACGCTTTGAGAAGCATGCTGATCCTGGGCAGCCCGACTTTTGCGTCATCCCTCTGGCACGCCAGTGCGGGTGCCGCCGCTCAGGTGTGGTGTTTGTCCAGCGCCTGGAGTGCCGCACGGTGTCCGTGCCAGCTGGCCTGGGCCGTGGACAGAGCCGGCCACGTTTGCTGGCTGTGAGCCCATTGGCTGGATGAGGAGGAGAGGCTCACCCTGAGTTTTGCAACGGCTTCCTGTAGGATTGGTCAAGAGGAGAGCGGGGTGCTTCCTGGAGGTTACATGTCCCACCAGGGGAACCGGGGCTGAGAAAGATCTTGAGGTATCCCAAGTACGAAACATCCCAGCCTGTGGTAGGACTTGAACCCAGTTCCAAGCTGGCTCCTTTTCCACATTGACTTGTGTGCGAACTGGAGCGGGCAAGTGAGTAGGCAGAAATGCGTCCCTTTTCTCGAGCTGCCTACCAAGGATCTTAGGAGTTGTTTCCTGTTCAAATTTAACCACCTTCAAACAACGGGGCACCCTAATCTCGGCCGGAGAGGGAAAAAGTCAACAAGGCTTGTTTTCACCGCTGGCGCCATCCAGGGAACCGGCTTGTCCCAAGAGCTTTCCAAGTAGCAAGCGCGCAAGTGGGCAGAGGGGGGAGCTGGAGCTGGGGGCTGGGTAGAAAGGACAGTCAATATTGACGGAGGCACTTGAAGATCTAAGCGGAATGAGCTCACGGCATTCTCTAGGCGCACGGGGGTGTCTTGGGGTTAGGCTAGGACGAACAGCGCCGCACCTTCAGGGCGTCCTGGGCGTGTGGGATGGAGCAGGGAAGGCTGCCAGGAACAAACTGAGGTGGGCCATTTGAGGGGGAGAGGATGGGGGCAGTGGCCTCACCCCCCCCCCCCCAGGTGTCCAAGGGCTCAGGTGGCCATTTGAGAATCACCCCTAGAAGAGGAAACCACCCCAATGGATGAGAAAAGCTGACACACACAACCGGGTCACATTTGCCGACAGCGGCTTTTATGTAGCGAGGCAAACTGAGAAATAATTACGGTAACTTCATGAGCCATGCAATGATTCCGCAATGACACAATTTCTCTCGTGTTTCTGCTTCGGGGCGTCCAGTCCGCCGCTGCAGGAATGGAATGCTGGACTGGACAGATGTTTGGGTCGGCTCCGGCGCAGCTCTTCTCGTGTTCTGATTGTAAACCGCGAGCAAAGTTGAACGGTACGCATGGTCTGCTTGCAGGAACGCTTCCCTCCTGCAGGTGGGGAAGGCATCTCCAAACAGATTTCAAACAAGCATGCTGCAGAAAAGATTCTGGGGAGGTATCACCCCAAAGTGTTGCTTTTCTCTGTTCGAGAGATTTTGTGGTTCTGCATCTTTGCCCAACCAAAACTCTCGCTGGGACCTGCTCCTTATGCTTTAAGCTGCGATCTTGTGGTTGCTAAGACAAGGGGAAAGGTCTGCCCTCCCGGTGTGCCCAGCCAGCATCTGGGGCAAGCTGGGAGTTGTAAACCGTTTTTCCTGTATAAAGAAAAACGGATTCATCGCTCTTGGGAATTTGTCATCAGCACAGAGTGGGGTTTATTTCCAGTACTAGTGGAGTGTGACTTCAAATGAGTGTTCAGGATTGTAAGCGTGGTTGTTACGTGTACAGGACATGAGTGCTGGAAGTCCCTCCCTCGCTCCTCAAAATTTAAAAACCCTTTTTCAGGATCCCAGAACAAACAGGAACCAACTGCCGTTCCCTCACTCTAAAGGAAGCGCACCATGCATGTGTTTCGAAACCTTTGCTTTGCTTCCCGTCTCTGAAGAGGGACCCTATGAAAAGGGAGGCCAGCCCTGCCTTTCACGGAGGGCTCTGCTGCAGCTCGCCTCGCGCCTCCTCTGCAAAGCCAGCAGCACTTAAGGAACCGCAAATGCTGCGATTCACAAAGCGCTCAAAACCCGTGTTTTCCTCCCATCTTTTTCGCCACATGTCGAACATCTGGATGTGAAATGCAGCCCTTGTTTCCCGCTCAGGAACATATTTGCCCCAAGGTTCAGAACAGCCCGAGCAAACGATGGCTTTGTAGTGACATTTGTAACAGATCCTTGCCAAAGATCCTTGTGCCGCCAAAGAACGCCACGTCTTGCAAAGGACGCCAGCCAAGTATTGACCAGGCTGCCGCAACCGGAGAGCCGCAGCGCTGTTCCCCTTGGCCCTGTGCTCCCAGCCAGGCCGCGTGCGTTCCAAGGCGGCACATTTTGCAGTGCGCACGTTCCTGACAGTTTGGCCCCGCTTGGAGGTGCCGCGGATTGGGCCTGAGCCCGCTGCGTGCAAGCAGGGGCTGTACCGCCATCCCAAAGCCCCCCCCCTTGCCCACGTTGTACGCCGCACACTGCGCAGAGAGCTTTGGCTGCAGAGACCGGTTGGCTGATTGCTTCAACGACCCCCAGAAGTATCTCTGCCAACAGCATCTCAGGGGCAAAGGCCAAACCCGGGGCAGAGGAGGGAGGATTTCTGAGAGCCCCGGTCCAGACTGGGAGCGTCTACTTGACTGAAGCCCAGTGGCTACTTTTGTTCTTTTTTGAAATGAAATGGCCAGTTTAAACCTGCGCCCAAAGGCAGTGCGTGGTTCAGCCCCTCGCCAGCAGCTTCTGAGGTCTCAGTGCTTCGACCTGGAGGCGTGTGGGGCGCTCTCTTCTCGGTCATGCTTTCATTAAGCACCACAAGGCAGGGCTTAGCAATTCGTTCTCCACTGTGGCCTTTACCCTTCACAACAGCCTTGCAAGGGTTGCTGTTTTACAGACCGGAACACAAAGCGCGGAATGGAAGGACTTGCTGCAGAACATCCAGAGATGGGTTATAGCCCAGATAAAGTTCACTTAAAGCTTGCATGTTTCTCTTAGTCATTTTCATCCTGACCTTCCCACCTTATGGGCAGCTAACAATCGTATCATTGAAAGCAATTAAAAAAAATTTATGAGGTACAACGCAAGCCACTAAAATGAAAAAGGGAATGAGAAATTGGACAAAAGTGAAAACTAAGCAAGGACTAAAGTCATTTATATACATTTTTAAGAACCTTCCACCAGCCACTGGTGATGCAGTTCTTCCAGAATGCCAGGAGGGCGAACATGGGCACCTCCATAGGCACCTGGGTCTTTCTGGCTGTCGTCTGCCGGCCCTCTCGCTCTGTCTGTCTGTCTTCCCTTCAAGTGCACAGTCGAAGATTCCAGGCTCTCAGTGGCTGGCAGGTGCAGGCTGCAGAATTTGGATGCGGCTAGAGATACTATGCATGCTTAGCCGGAAAAAGTAGCATCCCCTGCATGCTTAGACAGCAAAAATGCTGTAACTCTGGGGATGCCCCGGGTGGCCACGGCTGGCTGGGGCATGCGGGGAGCTACGGAGCATTTTGGTGCCCAGATGGGCCTAGCGTGGCCCCCTAAAGGAACTCGTGTGTGCCTGATAGGGAAACAGTTTTGCTTGGGTCCCTGTAGGTGAAGGATGGCCCTTTACTGGCTATTAGCTAATTCAGTAAAAAAGAAAAGAGAAATACCCCAAAAGGCGCAAGCAAGGACGAATGGCCAGCAGAGAGCTGAGCTGGCCTCTCTGGGACTTCCCAGATGGTCCCTTCAGCACATTCTGAGCTCGTCAGGACCACCGGCGGGCAGGGACTGCTCTGGGCAGAATGGGGGCAGGTTTCCTGGGACTGCCTTGTGACGCTCTCATTTCCAGCAGGTGTCTGATGGCATGGGACGTGGTGGACGCCCGTACCCTCCGGATGCGGGTGTGGGAGGCGCAAGGTTCCTTGTGTTTGAGGCTGGCTTTGTGTGTGGCCCCCTGTCCCCAGAAGGCGCTCGGTTCCGTCCGTTTGGCATGCACGTGGCCCTTCTGAGCCTACCACGGCTTGCCGAACGCAGGACCGCCTTCCGGGGTTTTCAGGCCGGGCTGCGAATCGGCGCTGGGGCTGGTCGGTAAGCTCTGAAGGATAGATCTGCCGAAGCCGTAGCTGCCCGGGTCGGAAGCGATGCTGCTGTCGCAGGTCTGGGGGGCGTCTTGCCCCAGGCTGGCCTTGGCGTCCTGCTTGGCCTGCTTCTTCATCTTGTAGCGGTGGTTCTGGAACCAGATCTTCACCTGGTTCGGGGTGAGGTGGGTGACGGTGGCCAGGTGCTCGCGCTCCGAGGCAGTCAGGTACTTCTGCAGCTGAAACCTCTTCTCCAGCTCGTGCACCTGGGCCCGGGAGAAGAGCACGCGCCGCTTCCGTTTGGAGGAGTTCCCTGCGAGGAACGGGGGCGATTTGATCATTTCGCTGATGTAGCCCAGGCAGTCGGCTCCAGGCACGCTGAACCCCGGGGTCCCCACGTACCTGGAAACTGGAGGAAGAACAAGACGGGCCGAGGCCGTCAGTGCAGCCTCCCAGCAGGGCGCACATGGGTGCCTTGCGTGTGTTTTCGTTTCTTTATTATGCTAATACCCCACCTTTTTTCCTGCAGGAAACCCAAGGCAGCTCGCATGATCCTCATCTCCATTTTATCCCACAACAACCCTGTGAGGTAGGTCATGGTGAGAGTCAGAGAGTGGCCTTGCGTCACCCAGGGAGCATCCTCGCTGGGTGGGGAGTAGAACCCGGATCTTGACTGCCAGCTGTCATTGGGAATAATGGCAGCAGGGGCTATGTGGGGGTTAAACAACCCTCGGAAAACCCTGCAACGGGGTTTGCACAACATGGCAAACACGCAGGGGATGGTGGGCAGGGCTGCCAGCACACGCCGCCGCCCTCGAGCGGCCAGTTGAGCCACGATGCCCGTCTTGCGCAACCCAGCTCACCAGCCGTGACGTGGGCGAAGTTTTAATTTGCCTTGGGCAGCCAAAAAATCCAGGGCCGGCTGGTACGGGCTGTTCCCCACGACTGGGATGACGCCGTGCCCTCCCCAAGCAAGCCCTGCTCCTCGGCGTGTTTTGCGGGCAGTGGCTTGGAGCAGCCGTGGTTTGGTTTTCGTTGCCGCTTCGTCTTCCACCTGCGACAGACGCACAGAACCTGCATTCGGACGAACAGGAGTTTTCACTGAAGCCACGCGCTGCCCGGCTCCCATGTGACTGGGCGCCAGCGGGAAGACAGACTCAGACAGAACATCCCTCTCTCCGTTGTGATCTCGGGCCAGCCCTCACAAGAGCACATGCCTCGAGTTTCATAAGTACAATACGTACACACAGGCTTGCTTATTTATCATTTATCCAGTGAACTCCGCACCGGTCTCTCCCTGCTCTTTGTGCTCCTCACAGCAACCCTGGCAGGTAGCATCAGGTGAGGCAGAGGCTCGAAGGGGCTGAACCCAGGGCTGGCAGGCTAGGGATGATGGGAGATGCGGTCCAGCACACCAGGTGGGAATCGGTGGGAGGGAGGCTGTTCTAACCACTGTGCCTTTCACTGCCTGCGAGAACAGCTCCGCAGCCCTCTGTCCTGAGCTTAGGGTGCACTTCCCCATACCTTGAATTAAAGCAGTCATCACGCTTGGTCCTCCCGGTGAGAAAAGGGGGCCTATTCACTTTTAGAGTGGGTAAGATGGAAGTACCCCCCCCCCCGCACCTCAGCCCGAGCTCCCGAAAGCTTGTGCCTTGCTCCCAGCCAGAAAGTAAACCTGGAGCAGCCGAGGCTCTGGAGCAAAGCGAAGAATGCAGTCTGAGCACATTCGGACAGGAGAGTCCTGCAGTTCCTGGCATTTTTGGTCTAAATGCGTGTGTGTTTCTGGCCAAATTCCGCCATCTTTCTGCTCCGACTGGGCAACGCGGGGACAACGATGCCAGACTGGAAGGACCTACCCAAGGGCATGGGACCCAAATTTGCATCTGCTAATTTAAGTCTAAATATGCACATTTAGAAATAAGACCCAGCTAATTAATCTTCCATCTACATCATCTCAGAAAAACTCACTCTTCAATTAATTTGTAAGCTGGGCCAGATCCTTGCAACTCAAAGGGCAAGTTTTCCTTCTCCGCTTCATCACTGGGATTGATTTTGGGATGTGGGAGCTACCACAGGTGGGAAGAGGGGAGTGAACCTTTTCTCCCCCAGATGCGATTCCCCGTAATACTTGCCTCCTGGAGAGCATGTAAGGTGGGAAAAAGCATCACGCCTTCCACTGGCAGCAAAATGGAAAAGCAGGGCTCTGTGGAGGAGATTGCTGGCCTGGGAAACAGATTAAGCAGCCAGGACAGCTTTGGTGCCTGGGTACCTTTCATCCCAGTTTGGGAATCGACTGCTCTGCCATGACCAAGTCACAGAGCAAGGGATGGAGACGTGCAGTTGAATGAGCAGATGCGACAGGAATGGGCGCAGCTTCCACAGCCACCCCACTGCTGGGCTCTCTCCCATAGAAGTGAATGGCTGCCATGTTGTGCTTGGAGAAGCGCCCAGCCTTGCACAGCCCAGCTGCCACCAACCACAGGAGCCCCACGAAGAGAAGTGGTGCCTCTCTGAAGGCGGCCGACACAGCTACCCACTGCAGCCCGGTGAAGGGTCCTTGCACTTTTGAAGCCCTCCCCTGGCACGCCCCCCACCCACCCACCATGCAGACAAAAGTTCTATACAGAGCAAGGAGGAAAACAAAAACCACCTGTCGGTTAATAGGTAGATGGACGACTTACTTTCCCCCTCTTCCCTCCCTAGTCATGTTCTTTGTGTGTTGTGTCTTCAGAATGAGCTGCTGCAGGTGAGCATTCTCCTGATAGACGGATCTGAGCCATTCCGGAAGACTTTTCGGCTGAGCCGTGGGCTTACTTACCATCATCATCCTCCTCGTCATCAAAGAGTGCATTGCTTACCTGAAGAGTACGGCCCATCTTGGCTGCTGGCGGTATACCACTCCCCGTGGGCCACCCCGCTCCTGAAGCTCTCTTGAGGGTAGGTGGGCAGGTCCGCGGGAGCGGGGAACGATCCGGGGTAGAGTCCCAGCATGGGGTTCTGCGAGAGGCAGTGGGCAAAGGAGAACCTGGAGCCCCCCAAGCCGGGCTGGTGGGCGCTTGGCACAAACGGGGCAAAGTCCTCCAGGCCCTCCACGGCGAACCCCCGGAGCTCTTCCATGGGGCCGTTTCAGGTGCTGTGGGTCTGGCGTGAGCCTCGGAGGGCCGCCCGCTCCTGGCCTGCCTCCCTTTCCTGCTGTGCACCGGCCAGAGTCCTGGCGGAGAGTGCGGGAGGCTCCTGGGCCATGGTTCTCCCCTTTTATCTCCAGGTCTGCCCCTTATCAGGGATTACGGACTCCGCCCACCGCGGCCAGGTAGAGGGGAGGAAGGGCACCTCCCCTCCTCTTCAAGAGCCTCCTTGAACAATCGGAGGGGAAAACAGGCAGTCCAGGTTAAAGGAAGCAGAGGCTGGTTCGAAGAAGGTCGCCGGGGAAGTGGGTGAGAAGAGGCCCAGCCCTTGAAGCTTTCAGCTGGGGGCTCTTGACCAGATTACACTGGCATCATCCTGGACAAAGGTACGAGATGGATGCCTCTGGGGCATTTTGCTGTCCCCCCAGAAGGGGGATCTCTTGGCTCTGGGTGCAAAAGTCAGAACTTTCAGCGTTCAGAATTTTAAAAAGCAAGTTCCTAGCCCTTATGACTGTGGTTATCTTAAATGTGTGTGGGTAGTAACTGGTGAAACCTCAGAATCCAAGAAGAAGGGAATTGCCTTGGTCAGGAAGCTGTGTACCCTCCCTGTGAACAACAGATGCACTCGACTGAGCAGAACCAACACAGGCAATGGATCTTTATTTGCATGAGTTAACATGGACTGCAGAATTTAGCTGTTCCTTTGGTGCAGAATATGTGTTATTTTGGTATTAAACTCTTCAGAGTAGTATAAAATATTGCCAGTTGGACAGAGCAAAATAGGCTAGATTGGTTTTAAATCAAGTGACTGAGGAATGTATTCAAAGTAATCTTGTAATTTCACAGGGGCTGGCAAATTGATAAGAATGTTCGAACTGAAAAGCAAGCAGGCTGGCAAACAACACCCTAGAACGGTGTGTTTCTGAGTTTTTCTGCTCCCACGGCAGTTGCTTTCCCCCATTTTAACAGAAAACCCAATCTTGAAGCCGGGCTGGAGGAGATGTGGTGGGACAGGGTGGCTCTGTGTGTGTGTGTGTGTGTGTGTGTACACACCTAAAACCCATCAAGGGCTAGAACAGGGGTGGCCAAACTGAGGTTCGGGAGCTTAATGTGCTGTTCACTGTTCGGTGTTGTGGGTGCCCACAGGCGCCCACTTGCTGCTCTCGGCTGCCGTCGCTGTGGCCCACGGGCGCCTCCTTGGGGCTCGCAACCATCTGACAATTGCCCCGTGCGGCTCTTTGGTTGAGCAACTCTGGCCACCCCGGACTAGAATGGCGCTGCCTTTAGCACTGCCTTCGCCCACACCGACATACCAGTGAGGTGTGGTGGTGAAGCGCGATCCGGGACCCAGGCCCCACTCTGCCACGGAGCGGCTCTGGGCCAGTCACAGGCTCTCAGCCCAACCAACCTGCCTCACAGGGCTGTTGTTGTGGGGAAAAGATCGGGAGCAGGAGAACGATGCAAGCTGCTTTGAGTTCTTCGTAAGAAAATAGACATGTATTAGATAAATAATGGCTGCGTAAGTGTTAAGACTGGCTTCAGAGTGGAGACTGCCAGAACTAATCCTAAGTTTGCAAGGTGGGAATATTGTTATTTCTACTAGGAGGGGGTAGAAATGCATTTTTGGCTTCTGGTAGCAGCCGCTGCTGTGAGTTCTTCCAGCATCTTTGCATGAGAATCTCCTTATATTTAATTCTTTTCATCAGATAAACCCAAGCGGTGTGTTGGAATTGGCAACCTGGATTGCCTTTAAATCCCGTGATAAATCTCTTGCACGGAGGAGGGCGGCTGCGTTCCAGCTGCTGAGTTGCAGAATCGCCGCTCCATACAAGCATGCCTTGTGTTAGACAGTCGCTTGTCTGTCTTCTGGTGACGACGAACCGCGATCAGCTGCTTCCAAGCACAACCAACTGGGCCGTGCCAGTTAAATATCTGGCCTAAAAGCTGCATGAAATGGATTCTCGGAATGGCACAGATTCTGTTTTGGACAGCAGCCTTGGCGGGCAGGCCTGAGCTCGAGCTGACATGGGCGATGGCCAGGGATCCCGGGGCTGTAATGCCGAGTGAGCAGGGCAGCAGATTGGAGGAGACCACTTGAGAGATGCGTTGCTGCTGCTTTAATCGCTGCGCCACCCAACGGCCGAAGCCAATTGTGGAAGACAATTTTTCTGGGGACGGGGGGATGGTTTTGGGATGATTCCAGCTCATTGCATTGCTTGTGCACTTTGTTTCTGTTATTATTGCATTGTGATAGATAATAAGTATACAGCCCACCGCCTCAGCTCCACCTCAGATCATCAGGCATTAATTCTCACGAGGAGTGTGCAGCCCGGTCTGCGCTTTCATAGGAAAAGCAGGGGAAAATGGATAGGCCCGCCCTGCCCCCTCACTTCCACCTGCCTGCTCCCATTGGTCCAGGCTCAGTCGTTCCACCTTTTCTACTGGAGCGCCTGCCCCGTGCCTGAGCAGCACTCTGCACGTGCTACTGGATACTGTTGGTCGAGGGGCAGCTTGCGCCGTAGTCTCACTGGAGAAACGAGGTGCCTGTCAGAGGGGCTTTGTTTGGTTTGTCTAGTCGCGAAGTTGTGCCCGACCCCTGGCAACCCCACGGATGACGTTCCTCCAGCCTCTCCTGGCCCCCGCCATCCCCCGGAGTCCACCCAAGCCCACACCCGCTGCCCGTGGCTCCATCCAGCCACCTCATCCTCGGCTGTCCCCTTCATGGATCGCTGCCTTGCCGTGGTGAAGGGGCTTGCGCAGCGAAGCAACGGGCTATGCCGTGCAGGGGCACCCAAGACGGACGGGGCATGGCAGAGAGCTCTGGCAAAAGGGGATTCCCTGGAGAAGGAAACGGCAACCCGCTCCAGGATCCTTGCCATGAAAGCTGCCTGGACAGGGGCTTTAGCCCGTTCGAGAAAGATTGGATTGGGTTGGTCGGCGCACTCTTGACGTCCCGCCTCGTTCTCTTGCACCCGTGCGTGAAAGGAGGAGGGGAGCTGTGGAGGCTGTGCCCACAGATGCAGCTTTGCCCACCGCTCACTTCCCGCCGTGTGGCCCAGTTCCTAACAGGCAATGGATTGGGATCAGTCTGCAGCCGGGGGGTTGGGCACCCCTGGTTTCCGGCTCCTAAAAATACAATATAAAATACAAACAGCATTAAAAATATAATTAAAAGGTTATGATACAAACATTCACAACCAAATTTAAAAGAGATACAGGGGTCAGACTAGGTGGCCTGGGAGGCCCCTTCCGACTCGCTCTGTTCCTGTGATTCAAAATTAAATCATAAGACCTGTTTGATCAGCTAACAAAGACCCAATAAGTTAATTAATGCCCTGCAGTTCAGGACAGTCTTAACCTGGTGCCAAAAGGGTATTAAGGTTGGAGCCGAGCAGGTCTCAGTGGGAAGGCTGTTCCGTACTTGGGGGGCACCTTTGAAAAGGCCCTTCTCTCTGTGGGTGCCCAGTGGGCCTCCCCTGCAACTGGGAATCGGATCAGGGCTCCATCGCCTGAACGTGGTGCCCAGGTAGATTGCAGCCGGCAGACGTGTTCCATCAGGTCCTGTGGTCCCATGTAGGGCTCAGAAGCACGCAGGCAGCCAATGCAAGTGGACCAGAATTGGTGCTATATATTCTGACCACCAGGTTCCCAGACATCCGTTACCCTCCCCACTCCCCCTTGAGCTTTTGTTTTTTGACTGAAATGCATTGCATGAATTTTTTTCAGCCTGGGTTCAGGACTAGTTTGAAGATGGAAACGGCCTCGCTTGGCTCAGTGGGCCAGAAGGTGATGCTACCAGAACCACTGGTTGAACGCTTGGCCTTTGGAGCTCCCCGGTGAGTGTCTGTGTCACTCACCAAACTTCATGTATTTATTTATTACGTGTCTATGCCACCAAATATTAAAAATCATAACATGCAATTCATAAAATATTCACAAATACAATGTACACACAAAATACAATTTAAAGATGTGTCTGAATCGTGTTGGTTTATTAGTCGAATATTGTATATATTTTTGGTTTGTGGAAAGGAAGAGGTTTTATCAGAGTGTTAAACATCTCTCAAGGTGAAAGTAACTTCCTTTATTCCATGTCTTGCCATAGAAGTTAACCTCCCCAAATTTTTTCTTGGGATTGGCATTTAAACAACAGGCAAAAATTATTCCGTTCCTGTGCTATCTGTGATCGACTGTGATTTTAGACTTTGCAGGGATTTTAAGTGCTTTGTTTGCACTTTTGTAACAGCTGCTTTTATGCTTTTTGTTTATCAAGTGAAGGAGTGAGTAAAAATAACTTTAATAAAACGACTTCTCAGCGTTCAGGGAAGCATACTTTCGAATAAGTATTTGAAATTACTTTTAAGCGCAGTCCAGTAAGTGTCGGTAAAGTCAATAGGGCGCCCCCTCCCTCCGCATGTTTAGACAGAAAAAACGTCTTTTAAATCCCAGCATGCCCCAGCCAGCAGCGTTGTCGGGGCATGCTGGGAGTAATAGGGCTTTTCCATTGGAACAAGCATAGGATCACACACTACCTCTCCGGCGTGTCTATGATTGCAGTATTCTGGCGGGATCCTCACCTTATCTTATCCTTCAGGTGAGGCGTTCTAGAACTTTCTTGACCATTGCGGCACAAGCCACCAGCCTGCTGCTCCCGGCCATAAGGCAGAGGATGCCGCTCGCACGCATGTAATCGCAGAACGAATTTCCTTGGTTCCTTTTATTAGTTGCTAATCATGTGTCCCATAAAGCACAATCGGCCGTGTAATCTTTCCAATTTTCCGATACGCTTGCTTCTTGCAGGGATGGGAAATGCCAATATTTGCACTTGCGGGTCGTGCCTGCCATGTGAGCCGCGGCTGAGAGGACGATACCATGAGCAGGTGAAAGGGAGAGGGGGGGCAGAGCAGCTTTTTTTCGCTTCCAGGAAGTGATGCGCCTCTTTCCAATTAACAGGGCCAGGTGGTGGACTGCTTGCGTTGTTAATAACACGGAGTGCGTGTGCGTGTTTGATACGAGGAGAAAACACGGAGAGGGGGCAAGAACGGCGCGGCCTGTCCCCCCTTCGTAGAGAGTGGTGCCGCCCGAGCGTCGGGCTAAAAGCGCTGCTGCCGGGCGGTTCCGAGCCAGAACGTTCGGTCGAGCGCCGGAGCCGAGCCGAGCCAGCGCCATGCCCGTCAAAGTCCGGGTGGTTTACTGGTAAGCCTGCCCGGCAGGAGAGGCGCCGGTCGCGCTCGTGCGGCCGCCGGGCTCCTTCCCGCCGCCTTCCTCCGCTTTGCTTGGCCGCGGCGACGCCCCTCCCTCCCCCGAGGAGGCTCCTTGTGCGCGAGCGTGTTGCCCTGCGAGCTGCCTCGTCGTGCGTCGGGCCGCCTGTTGTCCCGGTTCGCACAGTCCCAAGGACGCTGCCTCCCCGCTGCTAAGCAGGCCCGAGGGCGTAAGCCTGTGCGGGGGGGGGGGGTCCTGCGACTCCCACTCCTGTTGCATGTCTGGATGGGGGGAAGAAGTCCCGGAACACGCAGGCGGTGTCAGACGTTATGGAACCACTGGGCCCGGCGCCTTAATCGTTGGTCTTTAAGCGTGTGTGTTTTAAAAAATCCGTTAGTCCTTTTTGCAACGGAAGTAACGCTTGTGCTAAAGCGGACATAACCATCCCCATCTAAACCTAGTGCGCAGACCGGCTGTACTTCCTTGCACGGACTGGCCGTAGGGTCACACCGTTTTGAAAAGTGGAGCGAGGGCTCAACTCCCGGGGACGTTTGGGGCTTTTACAACGGGCAGTGGACGTTTCGGTGGACCGTATCTGCTAATAGCAATGTGAGGATCGCTTTTCCTAACGCATGCATATTGCAGACTCATGAGGAAGAAGGGCTAGAAAAGGACTCCTCACTTGATGGGCACAGTTTTGGCTGCGCCTGCACAGCCCTGGGGTGATGCTGCACGAGGGAGGGGAGAGACGGTGTGGGTGCAGAGCCAAACCCCGAGCTCAAGGATTGATGCAGGTGAGGCGGCTCCTTTGTCCTTTCAAAGACGACCTGCTTCCATGGGTGTCCTGCAGGCTGTGGAGTGTCTCCCTGGATAGGCCATTCTCACGTTCATCCGCCCCATGGGTGGAGACAAGAGCTCCATTTGCCAGCATCTTCTGCTCCGATTGGACTCTTGAGCTGGGTGGCCTCCTAGATTTGGAAGGGCCAAGGGTGAAATTGCCCTACGGGGGACACACTGAACGGTGAGCATGTGACAAGGATGCCAAGAGCCCCACATTTGATTCCAGGCCCCGGGGAAGGCGGACCGTGTATGAATGACCGAAGAGAGCGAGAGAGGGAGGACAGAGAGAAAATGCACCAAGGGGATTGGTGAATCCCATACCAATGGGCCCCTTATCCATGCAGCTTTTATTCTGAGCATTATAGGAGTTACCCATGGGGTTCCATGGGGGTGAACCTATTCTGGGGATGTAGTTCAGATTTTTGTGTTGTTCTCATGGTTTTGGAAGGCAGTTGAAAACGCTACTGAATGGCGTCATCTGTCCTAAATTAAAGCTAGCTGCTGAAATGGAAAATCATAGAAATGTAGAAATTGAAGAGTTTTGCAAATGTCATCTGCTCCAAATAACCAAAAGTCGACGTCAGGAGCTTGCTCACAGCAAGCAACATGGGGAAACATAGACCGTTAAAAAAACCTACAGCATGCCGTCTTCAAAGTCCTTAGTCATCTCATACCTGATAAGAGAAATGAATTAAATCCCATTTGATTTCTCCCCTGAAAGAATCTGGCCTGTCATGAAAGGTTAATGGTGTTCCCCAGCCATTTCATTTTCTTCACTGATGCTAAAACCGCTCATCAGGAAACAAAATGAAAAATCAAATCTCAGTGTTATTAACGAGGCTCCTCATTGAAGGAGGGCTTATTTCTTTTGCATCCCTGATGGAAAAGAGAATGTACATATTTAGACTCCAGCATGTTGTCTTTGGCCCAGTTCTTGTTATATAATGGTGCAGAAGAGTTGTGTCCAGTACACTGAAACGGCAGAAGAACACCAGTCCCTCCTTCAGCCCCGGTGCCTTGGTTTCTTGTAGGCTGCCTGGCACTCCCCCAAATCATGTTCTGTCGGCTGCTATTCCTGCACTGGCTGAGATGGCAAGATTCTTGATCGTTGTAAATAACACAAAGCGCTGATGCCTGCATTTGTTTTTCTTGCAGTGGGGCCTGAGGATACAGCCCTAAGGTAAGCTGATTTTTCTGCCTAACTCATAGTAAAAGTACCGCTTCTGTCGTCCCAGGCTGTAGCCTGGTGGAAAGGACTTATGGGACATGCCAGCTGACCTGAGCCCCTGGCAGCAGCAGTGCTGGCCGGCGCTGTAGCTGCGAGCGCTTGCCACAGGCCCTCTGCAGAACCTGGAATCTGCGGGTCCGTGGAGAAGATGAATGTCTGTTCCTGCCTCCTTGGGGAAACACTGTAGAACCGCAGCCATGCCTGGTGTCTATGAATTCTGAAGCTAACTCTTCACTCCCCATCTTTCATTTGTAGTATCAGCGGCTCAAGAAGGAACTCGAAAAGGAGTTTCCGGGCAAGCTGGACATTGTGAGTATATCCAGTTGCGGTTAGTTCAAGTCGCCTTGCTTCTTACGGTCTCATGCGATTCTTGAGCAGGTGCAGAGCTGCAGGCAGTCCTTCAGGTTGCCCCTTGGGGTGACAGGCAAGGCCCAGGGCGGGTTTGCCCTGCACAATGATGGCACTGCCAGACAAGTCATGGTGGCTCATTTTTCCTTCCTGTGTGTGGTCGTGCTTGCAAACCACTTAATTAGCATAATTGCCCTCACCGGGCATGGGTTGTTGAGATGTCCAGATCTGGCGACAGTGACTGGCTGGGCTGGTTTGCAAACCTTGAAACCTGGGACAAGCCCTTGGTCCAGGGCAGATGCAGGCTGCTGATTGAGTCTGGGACTTTTTGTGTGCCAAGCAGATGTTCTTTATACGAAACTACAGTCCTTCCAGAAAACTATTTGGAACTCTTTCTTCCCAAGTACTGAATTCATCAAGGAAGAAAAGGCCCCCGTTTCTGAGTGCAGCCAATAGTATTTTTGAGTAGAATCCCAATAGCAGTGCAAAGTGCCCTTAACTCAATCCTTCTACACAGAAATAGCCCTGAGTTTCAGACCTTGTAATATGACCTGTAACAACAACTCCTCATTCTTCAACTCCACTGAGACAAGCCATGCTCTGAAATACTTGAAGCAGGGAAGTACTACCTGCTTTTTTCTAATAAACCATCCCACATTTTGGATTCTCAAGGTGACTTCCCCCATTCCCCCCTCTTTCTGCCTAGAGTGGTGAAGGGACTCCTCAGGTCACAGGATGGTTTGAAGTGACAGTGGCAGGGAAGCTGGTGCACTCCAAAAAGGTAAGTCGTTCTAAAGCATCTCTCCTTTCTAGGAACCCTTCAACAAAACACTGAATGGTAGGATTTTTTTGAGAGCAGCAATGGAAGGTAAATGTTTGGGTGGGGTGACTCTGAGACCAGAGAACTCGCAAATTGCCAGGCCTACATGATGCGTGTTTATGTCTAAAGTCTATGATTTTTGGGCTGTAACTTTTTCTCCCTGACACTAGCTAAGATTCAGGGAGACTCTCATGGGAGCATGAACAAAAGCTGCAGCTCCCACACCCTGAAGTGGTACAGTCCAGCAAGGATGCTCTTTCAGGGTCCTAGTTCTTTGACCATTCCTATGAATAAGAATTGGACAGGAATGCCCCGAAGGCAAGGAAGTGATTCTTTCTTTTGTCTTAAGTGCTTTATGGCAACAGGAGTGTGTTGAGGAAGGAAAAATATCCTTCTGTGAGAAGCTGGGTTTTGCAAGTGCAATAGATTTTTTGGTTGCCTCTTGCTACAGCAACCAAGGGCTAATGTGTGCTCGTCCACCTGACACTGTTCTGTCCCTACACTACAAGGATCCACTATGATTCTCTCCCCCGCCCCCCGCCCCAATGTTCCTTTCTTTCATTCAGAATGGAGATGGCTTTGTGGATGATGATGCCAAGCTACGGAAGATAACCATGGCCATCAAAGCAGCCTTGGCATAAGGATGGTGCTAAGAATGTTCTAACAACTCAGTGGCTAACAGAGGTAAGCACAGGCTGTAGCTCTCGTCCGCTGTAATATACTGCCGGAAGTCCTGGTCCTGGAATGGCTGTGCAGGGATCAGGTCACTCTTCTAGCGAAAGCCTTCCATGAACATTCAGTCTGGCTCTCTCAGAACTGTTTAGGCCAGGGGTCCTCAAACTTTTCAACGGGGGGCCAGTTGAAAGGTGCTGGCGGTGGATGCGGGCCGCCAAGGCAGTGCTGGCAGGGAGGGCAGGCATAGCGAGCAGGGGCGGGGGGGTACGCGCGGGGCGAGGCAGCAGCTTGCTCGCAAGGAGATTGTTTTCTCTGAGCAAGTCCAAAACTATTTCCGTGTGACCAAGCTGTGCGCCTGTGCACGTGAGCCCTGACACAGCAAGTGCAAAACCTCTGAGGCCAGTTAAATGGGCATCACGGGCCGGATCCCATGGTTTAGACCCTCCCAGAACGTTTTGGTCCATCTGGTGGTCTATCTGCTTACTACACTAGTTCTAGGAATTTCTGCAGTATAATGCCAAAAAACTTGATATATCTAATACAAATCTAAATCATAATTGGGTGAGAAGAAACGCTTTTTAAAAAATGGGCAAGGGCCTTTATTCCGTCTCGCCCAAACAGCATGACATTCCAGGACATTCTAGTTTTATATGCAAAACAGGTCACAAAAATATTTTCACAATTCCTGCTCTAAAGGGGATAAACTTTTATTTTAATTGGTGTACTAGCAAAACTTGGAGCATAATTTGAGGATAGTTTCTGGCACACATGAATGCTTTTTAGCATGTGCTGAATACTACTTTGCCACCGAATAACTGCAGCTAGTCCATATTGCAGAGGGAGAAAACTGTCTTTCAGAAGTCAGAATCTGCCCTTGAAGCATTTGGGGTGGGGTGAATGTCTGTATGTGTACATATGTGGGCCCTTGGCAAAGCAACAGCTGACTTGTTTTTCTAATGACAGAATCTTGTAACAACTTGTCTCTCTTCCTCCTCAGCTCAAAGAAAAATCTGTTTTGTTCACCTTGGCCGAGCGCTCGATGACGGGAGCTGTTGAAATGTCGCCAGACGAATGGCAGTTCCCCGAAAACCCTTTGCGTAGGATGCCAGTTTGAGCAAAGCCTGATGGGGGAATTTGAGCTCTGGAGTTTGACATCTGCATGTGGAATTGGGTCTGGCACTAAAGCCCTTATACCTAACATCTTAAGTGTTGTGCATTCGGTGTATGGTACATGCAATCTTGGCTTCCTTTATAGCTCTGGCTTTAATATCTGGTATTAATAATGGTAACTCTGATCTAAGATGGTTGTGGGAGAAGGGAATAGTGAAGCCCTCCGCCGACAAGTGCTTTTTGACACTCGGGTTCTGGAATGCTCTTGAATGCCTTCAACTTTCGGGACAACAAAAATAAAAATGTTTCCACTATGTGATGGGAATCCAGTTCTAAAAATCTTTCTTTCTACTTAAGCTAGAATTCTACTTAACCTAGAATTCTAGAATGCTAAAACATGCAAACTGAGAAAGCTCTTCTTTTCCCACCTTCCCTAACTGCCTTGTTCCAGTGGCCTTTGGTTTCCCTATTCTGACTTCCTTGCTGAACTTCTGTCTAATAAACACTTCTTTCAGTATATTGTAGTCTGTGTGAAAACACTGAATCTCTTGCAGGTTGTGCATATAATGCAGAGTTAAGTGAGGCACAGTTCATCTTTCTGTCAGACCAGTGTTTTTGCTTTTGTTGGAACTGGGGCTGTTCTCCATTCTCCCAGGCTCAGCAGTTTATCATGAGATTCATATACTAGAGATACAAGACTCCCCATGGTATTCCTGGGTTTACTTTTCTTCTTGTATGCAGTTATTTTTTCTGTATTCTGCCATTCTCTATCATAAAGGGCTAATGTCTATGTAACTTGTGTATTTCCATTTGAAGTAAGCCCAAGTTCAAGGCATTTGTCTTCCAGAAAGCTTACCTCATGATGAGCTCCAATTCCTTTCTCAGCCTTATTTTCCTCAAATGAGAAATTTGAGATGAGGAAAACTACAGATACATACCATTTTCTGTCTCTCTTCCCTTCCTCTCCCTTTAACACATTCTAATCTGTATTAGCATGTGTAAGTCACACACATTCTAAGATAAATCTTAAATTGTGTTTCTAAATGGGACTAGGAATGTTGAAAAAAGAAGAAAGAAACCTCCTGTCTGGAATCCTTGATAAGTAAAGATCTGCAGTCGTATGTTGGTAGAAGTGTGAAAGATGGGAGCAAAAGTTGCTCCAGCATGAATTATGTTGTCTGCATCCCGTGTGGAGCATCTAAGCTGATTTGTGGGTGCAAAAGAAAACAATGGGATGCATTCTCCAAATCTGAAAGGGATCTAATCAGCTTGTTGTTGGTTATAGGCTTACAAATTGTCCCCATGATAGAATGCTAAAGGGATCAATCCCAAGTTCAAATACTGAGCAGGATTTTGGGGTGCTCTTGTGTGAAGCTTATGTGAAATGATTCCCTGAGATCGGGAGGCCATCACTGGGGAGTTAAGCCATCTACAAAGTAGCAGGAAGTCGTTACTTCAGAGCCACTGGAATGAAGGTGTCCTATTTTACATGATGAGGGTAAGGACGGACCTGAGCAGGCAGTACTCTTAGACATACATTTTGGAACAGTGCCATCAAGTTACATAGTACTTTATGAAGTAGAGGAAGACTAGTTCCTGACCTGAAGGGCTTACAATCTAAAATCAACATAGGAAACAACAGAAGAAAGGAGGGAATTAGAAATGGGGTTTAGTGGGGGAGGGAAATAGAAGCAGAGATCAATGGAGAATATAAAATTATTCCAGTTATGTGTGGCTTCAGTGTTTTGAAACAGTCCCTTTGTAAGGGATAAAGGGCAGCTGTTTCATTATTGGCACGGGCTGATTTCCTTTAAAGTCCATGTTAACTGTCTTATGGGCCATCAAACTGAGTTTCCTGCCAAACCATAAAGAATGGCTTGCTGTGTAGTTTAATTAGAAATGCTAATCTGAATAAAATGGAATTTATTCCCTAGTAACAGCGTTTAGGTTTTTTTAAAATTGGCACAACTTTGTATATAATTTTTGGTTGAAACCAATCTGGAAGCAGGCCACAAAAGAGTTAAAACATAAATTACACACACAGTAAAACAAGGCTGCTGCAAACACAGTTTATGTTTGGGGGGAAAGCCAAAATAAACAAGGGTGTTTCCCTCCCCTTTTATTTATTTTTTTAATACAGAAAAAAACCTCCTAATACAACACATCACAACATCAATAATATAATGTACAAAAACAAGCATGTTTTCAGTGAACACATAAAATGCAACAATACTGAGACCTGATGCCCCTGAGGGGAGATAATTTGACAGGAGGCATCACTGCCAGCAAGATCTGCCTCCATGTCACTTCCCAGACATGAATTCATTGCAGCCTTGCAGTGTGCTCTTGATCCAAGTTTACTCAGAAATAAGCCCTATAATTGATGTTTGCAAAAGCTGGAAGAGCCAGCAATGAGAAGGGTGAAAGCAGAATAGTCACAGTTGTTTATCGTGGTCATAGTGTTGCCAATTGCAGCACCCCAAAACACCCCAAAAGTAATTGGTTAGAGGAAGGCCCCAAAAGTAGTTGGGCAGAGGAAGGCCACATAGTAAAAACACCACAGTTATACTGTCCCAGAAGGGGGGGGGGTGGATAAGAATAAAATGAACTTTGTGTAACCCACAGCTAACATGCCAGCCTGACCTCGAATACAGTAATCAAAGGGACAGTGGAAACTGGTTCTAGCCATCATGAAAGTTGCAAATGTGCAGGGAGTAAGAACATGGCAAGCCTGTGTGAATCTCGAGCAGATAAGAAATAGACATGGGAAATATTTGGTCCTTGACAGAAGGAAGGATTCTTTCTCCAGAACAGGAGCGGGTGCATACATTGATGTATCGATGTATTAGATGTGTTATTAGGCAACCTAATTGGTTACCTAGGGTATAAAACGCATGTACTGGGCTGCAACTTTTGAGACACTGCTTCGGACTGAATGTCCCCTTTTGCCTCCCTTTATAGTGCACTTTTGCTCAGTGTGCAATTTTTTAAAACCTCCCTATTGTTACCGAACTCAGCCAGTCAACAGCTAGGGCAAACCCAGGTGGACCCCAGACCTGAGCCAAAAGGAGCCTGAGACAAGACTTGGAGCCAAAACCAGCTTTGCACACTGTGGGGTAAATGACAGTGAGGCTTGAATCCCTAGGATGCTGACTGGGAATTAGGATGGTTACTGAGCTTATTCTGAGGTGGCATGCTTGGCTGGAAATGTTTGAATTGGAGTTCACTAGGGAAATCCTTACTGTATGTGCCTTTGTCCTGACTCCTCTACACATGGCATGGTCTGTTTAGGAATTGATTAGCTTGGAAGTGGTGCTAGGCTTCCTTAGAATTAAAAGAATCACGCAAGACCCAAAGATCTGGCATGGTACAGGCTCCTAGAATAGTGAATGATCTTAGTTATAAATATAATAAACAAGGACAGGTGGCTTATTCACATTATGACACTATTTGAAGATGGTTCATGTATGGTGAGTTCTGTGTAAGCTATTCGGAAGTGTTCAGATTTCCAAGTGGCATATGTATCTGGTATGGGTATGTTCTTGATAAGGTGTATTTTTGCTACAAAATATGGAAAGTGGCAGGATTACTTTGATTCCCACACAAATTTGACATCTCACACGAAGAGGACAGAGCAACACTCTGGACCCCCGTTAAGTGTGAGGAACTGGATGCAACGTGGGGTTTGACAGCCTCTGAGCACAGTATGCCCACTCCTGTGTGCTGAATTCTGGAAGTTATTTCCAGAAAAGCGGGTTTGGCGTGGCACTGTGAGGGAAAAGGCTTTGCGCCTTACGAGGCAACACGGGCGAGTGCCTGGTGCTGTGGAGGAAACTCGCGGGCTGCTTGTGCACGGGCGTCGTTATTCCGCGCTTCCCCTGCGTTCGTCTGCCTGCGGGGCCAGGCGGAGGGCGGCCAAGCGGGGAGCGCGGAAGGCGCCCAAGATGGCTCCCGACGAGCCCGGCTCACCTCACTTGACCTGCCTTTCTCCACCCGTCCCCTCCCCGCCCCCACCCCCGCTTCAGCCCCGTTGCATGATGGTTAAATAGCCTGGCCCTGGAACCCGCCATTTTCTGTTGGGGCTGGCGGGAAAAGCGGGAAGGGAGCGAAGAGCAGCGCGAGCGCCGCCGCGGGACGACCAACGGCTCTAACGGTCGCTGAAGTGCGAGGCGGACACCAGGTAACGGAGCGGCGCGAGCGCCGTCGGCCCCTCCGCGCGCGTCCCGCCCCTCCGCGCGCTCGTATTCGGCTGGGCTGGTGGGGGGGGCAGGGGCGGCCAGAAACCGAGGTCGTCTGAGGAGATGCATTCTACCCCCCCCACAACTAACATAGATCAAGTCCCGCCTTCCGTCTGCATCGCGCCGCCTATTGGCTGAAACCCTGAGGATGACGGCTGTTCCGCGGATAGGCTGGAATCGCGGAGGCAAGTCCTCGGTTGATTGGTTAGGAGCCGTTGTCGATAACGGGAAAGGGTGGCTTTTTTGTTTTTTGTTTAACTGCACGATGCTGCGCCCTCCTCCCGTTCCGTGTCTCGCGTTCTAAAGCAATTAGCCCGTAGCGCGCTCGCCAACCGGGAGAATGGGTTGGGCGGCTCGCAAGGGAGGGGTTTGTCCCACCTGATCTTGACGAACCAATGGGGAAGCGTGTTCCCCGCAAAGGCTCTTGGGGTTTGTAGTCTATTGTGATACGGTTCGGAAAAGTATCCCCAGGTGTGCTACTTGAGCCAGCGAACTAGTTGCTGGTCTTGGAGGGGGATGGAATCGCAGGTCGTAGATACCTAACGAGCTCGTGGGGTGGCCATTCTCATTGCTCTCTATTTTTTTGGTGGGGGGGGGGAAGCGCACACCACCATCTAAACCCATTGGATGCTATGGGTGGTGGCATCGGTAGGGGATTGGGGGCTGATGTTGCCATGGCAACTGTCTCATCAGCTTTTCCCCCATGATGAGAAGCCCTTTGCTTCTGGGGTTGTAGTGCCAAAAAGCAAAGCCCCTCTGGTTTGTAGGGCTTACTGCCAAGCAAACATGCTCAGGGTGATAGTGCAGGGGATTTTGTTTTACAAGAGCAACTTAGGGGCCAAAATCTTGTAAGAGGCATTTTTAAGAAGCAGTGAATAAAACCACCTGGCTTTCATTAATTAAATGAATAACACCTACAGATTTTTAAGCCTGCTTGAAAACTTGTATTAGGAGATAGGACTGTAATACTTTTATTTTTGTTTGGCACGATCGATGATTGTGACCACACCAAAAATAATAATAATAAAAAAATCCCGGCTTTATTCATTCTTTAACTAGGCTAATCATGTGGTATATTCTTCTTAGTTACTGCATACCTGCCACATCTTACCACATCTCAAAACTGGAAGTTGCATATGCAAGACTTGCCTGAAGTTTTCCTCCACTTTAAATCCTAAGAAAAGCTTATGCTTTAATAGAAAAGTAAGCATTTACAGTGCCATCGTACTGTAAATGTTCTATCTGCTGCAATGGACCAATGCAGCTTACCTCTCTGGAGAATGTTTGCAGTTACAGGATTACCCTGTATCAAAAGATGGCTTACTGGTGTGTCTTGGGTCTTCAGGTGGCAATCCTGTATAGTTCTACTCATAAGTAAGGCCCACTGAGTTCAGTGGGACTACTCCCAGGTAAGTATGTGTAGGGCTGAAGCCTTATATTAGTGCTTGAATTTTATGGAGTAGGAGCAGAGGGTAAGGACTGTGGTTCAGTGTATGTGTGTATAATAGAGGATATTATATTTTGTGGAACTGAAATATTCCAATGGGGGATGTTCTTCGAATTAACACGCAACTGAATTTTTTTTTACAATTTTCCTCAAGAGTAAGGATGGATGCAACTGATTTAAAAACCACAGGTGTTTTTTGATCAGAAGGAAAAATATTTGTTCTCCTCAATGGGTTGTTTCTTAAATATTTTACTGCTAGTGTAAACTATTTTGTTTCCTTATTATTCTTGCTATTTCATTCATTTCTATACTTTCTAATAGCCAAACTCCCCAGGCAGTTCACAACAGTTAATTAAAACAATAAAATTAAATATCTTTTTTCCCAAAATACAAACATTTAGAAACAAACTGAATAGCTGAAACTACACATGATAAAGAGTAGATCTGTAATTCCCTCAAGCCCTTGAATTTCCATATTAGATTTAAATCCCACCTTTTTTCCTTACAAAGAACTCAAAGCAGCTGACATCATTCTCCTCCTCCTGCTCAATCTTCTGCCCACAACAACCCTGTGAGGTAGGTTGTGCTGAGACTCTGTGACTGGCCCAAAGTCCCCCAGTTGGCTCCATGGGACTAGACTGGCTGAATCCCAGTCCCATACTCTTACCCATGATGCCAGACTGGCTGTCTGTGCATGCTTTTAAATACCTTGGTATAAAGGGCCATCTTAATGTGGAGCTGAAAAGCCGAGAAGGGTGGCACCAAGGGGGTCTCCTTGGGGAAATCATTCCATAATTGAGGGGCCACCACTGAGAAAGCCCTCCCCCTTTCCCCCCTCTGAATCTCCCTTGGAGTTGATAGCCAGAGTAAGAAAGAATGTGGAGCATAGTGTCCAGGCAGATTTGTCTGTGTGATGGATGAATGGGATGTGTAGTTGTGTGCCTGTAAATTTATCTTCACCACCCAGATGCAGTGTATTCTGGGGAGTCATGTTTTGGGGCTATTCCATTTTTTTGGAAAAGGAAATTTAAGGACATTTTGATGACATCAGTGCTTGGCTAGAGTGGAAAACTGTCTTTGAAGGAAGCACATCCTCTATCCTTACCAGTTTGCCTTTTTGTAGGTTAGTTACCTTAAATGTGGGATACCTTAGTGACTAGGAGATTGAGCTGGAAAGTCCTCAGGTAAATGTTACTCTCAGTACCAAGCCACTGATCTTCCAGCTGCCATCAGCTCCTATGTGGATCATACCAACTTTCTTTACAAGGTTGTTATAAGGATCACTGTTATAATGGATAGCAATGCTTTGAATGTTATTTGAATGCTAATGTGGTTATTACCATGACTTTCTGGATCAAGATTCCAGTGCTTGATTACTGGAAGTATGACACGAACAGTAAGACTTGAAACAAAATATTCCCCTGTATTCCTATCTGGCACCTTAGCGCTCCAGCCGGCCCTCCCTCTTTCAGGTACTATAAAGTGTAAAGAATTCAAGCAGGGTATTCTTTCATCATATGGAAATGGATGGTGCCAGTGAGGCTCCCACACTAGAATCTCCGAATGGAAATGTTATGCAAGAGAGCATTGTGTTTTCCCATAGTTTCTGCATAAATTGAGGGTTTGCACTTATTTCCCTTTTTCTAGTGAGTTTCTAGCATTCTAAGAACCTCCCAGGATGGCCCGTACCAAGCAGACTGCCCGTAAATCCACCGGTGGGAAGGCACCCCGAAAGCAGCTGGCCACTAAAGCAGCTCGGAAAAGCGCGCCGTCCACTGGTGGAGTAAAGAAACCTCACCGTTACAGGTATGTGGAACGCTCAGATAGCGAAGGCTCGCTTTTCTGGCCAGCACCAGCTCCTTGTTGCGGTTAGCTCACAAAAGCTAATGATAAGACGCTCTCCAGAGTTGTCTGTCAGTAGTGCTGGGGATTTGGGCAACGCTGGCTGTCGCTCAGCTTAACCGCAGTTTCCTTTCGTCTTTGCTGGCCATGCCAGCAAGGGAAATGCAGGGTGGGGGGTCCCTTTTCGGGAGGCTATTTTCTGATCTCTGCTGGAGGGTGGGGAATGCAGACTGTGCTGATGTAATCCCATCCAGGCCTGGCACCGTGGCACTGCGAGAGATCCGGCGGTACCAGAAATCCACGGAGTTGCTGATCCGCAAATTGCCATTCCAGCGCCTGGTCCGCGAAATCGCTCAGGACTTCAAAACAGACCTGCGGTTCCAGAGTGCTGCCATTGGAGCGCTGCAGGTTTGTATCCATGTCCTTTTGCTCTTCCCTACACCTAACCTGCTTTTCCACCCATGGGGTAGACGTGGTTTCAAGGTATTCTGGTAGCAGCAGCTTCCCTCCGGCAGCAGAGCTTCACTTCCTGCTGTTTCTTCCATTCCCTGCTGCGCTGTGGCTTGGGAGATGTAGACGCCGTTTGTCTTCTGTAGCTTTAGGTGCAATTCTATGCACGTTTAGACAGAATAAAGGCCAGCAAGTCCCAGCTTGACCCCGCCTGTCTAAACCTGTCTAGCTAGCCTTTAGCTGTCAAAGTATGATATAATCAGGGCAGACGTGGAGAAATGACAGGAACGCCCTGTGTCTCCCCCCCCCCCCCCAGCTTTGTCTTATTTGGCAGCTGCCATTATTGTTGTTATTAATTTATGCCTGAAAGCATGGGAGTAGCAGTTGTTACCCTGCCATTTCCAAAGCGAAGCTTGCTGCTGCCGCCCAAGAGAACGGGTTGGTGTGTGGCGGCAGAAGCGCCCCCTCCTGGAGGCACTGAGCATGGCAGAGGTGGTCCTACAGTTCTCCCTGGTCCCTTTCATCTCTCCCAGTTGCTGATGAAAGGCAGCCCGTGCCCTTGTCCAGAACTCCGAAACAGGTGGAAGGGGGATTGAACTGCATGTAGATCAGAACAGGCGGGTTACGTACATGAATCAGCCCTCTGTGCAAGACCTGAGCTGTATTAACTTGTCCGGCCGGTCCCCCAAACACACACACAGTGGATGGGGAATACGGTCTGCCTCTTCCTTCTCCTTCCCTCTGTATTTCTGTCTTATAAAACTTCCCTGTAAGCCAGGCCTGCTTTTGACATTTTCTTTCTTTCTTTTGCATTGATCAGGAAGCCAGCGAGGCGTATCTCGTGGGTCTGTTTGAAGACACCAATCTGTGTGCCATTCATGCCAAGCGGGTCACCATCATGCCAAAAGACATACAGCTGGCCCGCCGCATCCGTGGTGAACGGGCTTGAGTTCCTTTCCCCCCTCTTCCACTTACACCCATCCCCAAGCAGCCCCACCCTGCTTGTGCAGTGTACTTAGAATACACTCCAGGTTTTATTTTTATTTTTTCTCCTACTCCTGTTTGTAGTGGCTAGGACATGTGAGGAAATGTTAGATAATCTATCGTAGTACCTCTCCAGGATCAGGAGACTTGATTCCTATTCATCATGTACAAGCAAAAGTGAAAGAAAAACCCTTTGAAATCTGCAAGACTTCTGGATGTTGTTTTTTGTAAAACTTTTTTTTCAGAATCGCAAAAAAAATGAACAAAAAAAACAAGCCCGTCAGGGACACTTTTGAAATATCTGGTTTTATACACAAAACTTAAGTAGATGTAGGCATTTCAATGATAGAGCTTTTGGTCTTCAGTTTGTAAAATATCTGCAAAGAACACTACACACTTTCCTTTTGTTAGTCGAGTCTTTTTTTCTTCGTATTTAGACAAGGAGTGCTTTCTAAATCCTTTTTTTCCTGTTTTCCATTTGTCTTGTGTCTGTGACTGACCTTTGTACCAATAGGGATTCACCCTGAGGCATTAAGGAAAAAAATAAATGTTGAATGACAACATCTTTGCTTCTTTAATGGTGGCTCATGGGAGACTTGACCAGATCTTGATTTTTTTTTTTCACATAGAGCAAGATGTGAATCCTTGTGTCTGAATTGTCAGAACTGAAAGGACAAAATGTACCTGGTTGATGTTAGCATTTGTTTTGCACCTGCTCCATGCTTGCTTGGAGTGGTCATTTACGACAGCCCTGTAAGATAGGTTTGTATTATCTTGCGTGGCGGAGCTGAAGTCAAGAGAAGAGTGGCTTGTGAGAGCAACCTGGTGGATGCATAGAGAAGTTTCTTAGCCTGGCACTTTCTGATGTGGCACCTGTTTTATGTAACCGGCCATTTAGGAGTAACAGGTATAAACCAAATTGCCACTTCTACTGGTGCATTTAGCAGCCAGTCACAGAAAGCTTTTCCTGTCACGCAGATCAGTGGTGAGAAAAGCTTTGCCTGCTAGATTTATGCGTCTTGGCCTTGTGCTGGTGAGGGTCATAACCTTGACCTGAATGTGTGTTCTGCTGATTAGGAGATGAATAAGAGCCTAAAATGAATTGAGGGTATGGTTGCAATGTGTAAGCGACAGATACTATGAAACTCTGGCTAATCAACCTACAGATTTTCTCACCCCATGACTTGAAAATTGTGGATGGTAGATGTTTTCTTAAAAGAGACACTTCTCATGCTGGTGACATGTTCATCTAAAGAGACACAACATTATTGTCGTTTGAGTTTGTTTATTCATATGCGTATGGCTACATATCAGTTTCAGCAGCAAAATCCAAGTGATCCCTGACAGCCTCTGGTACAAACTCTGTTCTCTCTCATATTAGGCTAAGCATTCCTACTTACCGACCTTGAAGCATTATGGATTTAATTAAGATTTAGTTAATAATCATTAACATCATTCACTTTATCAGGAACCTCATCGATTCCTTAAAATAGTAATAGGCCCTAAATTGCTTTCTCATGCCCAATCACACCAGAGATATCTGAAGCATAAGCAGGAGCATTATTCTTGCTTAGGAGCATACACCAGTTTGATTTGTAGGCTGGACTTGGTGGATGGAGTTTGCCACCCTGTGGTTGCTCTCTGCTGACAGAAGAGAACAAGCAAAACCAAAAAGCTATCTGGAAAAAATACACAGCCAAACCGTCTCAAGTTTTTAGGGTGTAAACACCACACTTCAGATTTTTCCTAGAATGATAAAGTAGTTATCTCTGTTGACTCACCCTCATACACTGATGGTATTTCCATAAGTTTTCCTGGGAATTCCATTTTAAAAAGCAAATTCCTAACCCTCTGGGTTGCAAAGTTAACCTTCAGAATGTGCTGTTAAATCAACCTTTTTGGTCAGAAGATAGTTATTGACTACAGTCCACTGAATCAGGTGCAAAATGACTGAGGTAGACACGAAACCACAAAAGCTTATACCATAATATGTTCAGATGTCACAGACTTCCTCCTTGTTTCTTTCCTCCAAGGCAACTCTGTTGTTCACCCAGTGCACAAATCCATCTCTGCTTTCCAACAGTGTACAGCATCTCCGCTCCTTAGTCTCTGAAGCTTTCCCACAACCTCTCTTTGAATTAGTCAAGCTTTAACCACTAGTTGACACTGCTTTCTGCCTGGCCCCAAAAAGCCCAGAGGCACTATTTTCAGAAGAGAAAGCTGCTGCGTCCTCAGGTGCCCATCTGCCTATCAAAATTAACCACCTGTGAGATGCCAGCTCTCTAATCCCTAATTAAGGGAGCTAAAAGAGTGCAGCACTGAACCAGTGTCACAGCGCCACTAAATATGATGTCGGCCTGTCAAGAACTATTGGTCAAAGTAATCTGTGCTTGCAGCCTGGGTCCTGGCGACTGGATTCGGGAGCATCAACATTAATGGCCAAGGCAAACTTGCACTTGCTGGGCAGCCCATATTTTAGCTGTCTTAGCTAACAAAAGGGCAAAGAGGGAGTAAACAGGGAAAATATTTGTTAACACTGTTTGAAAACTCAATGGTAAAAGTCTCTGAGGCAGGTCCTAATGCTATCGAGAGGTAAAAATGTGTTTTTATGCTTTTAAAATATGAGAGCAAATTTGACTGGATTCTAAATGCTGTTTCTGTCTTTTATAAAGAGAATTCTCAGAGAGGCAGTTGTTTAGGTCTTGTTGCAGCACCTTAAAAGATTAGCAAATTTATTCGGTCATAAGCTTCCTTTTCACGCGTCTGATGACGCAGGCATTGTTCATGAGCGCTTGCATCCGCATAACTAGTACTTATTTAATTTGTAGACCACCCAGGAATCTTACGCATAGCTTGTGTGTTTGCTGCTGCTTTTTTAAAGGGCTTGCGGACTGGTTGAGATTGATGCTTTAATGGGCACATCTGCTTTTTAAGGTGCCACAGAGGTCCATTGTTTTAAAGCACATTAAGACTGTGTGTGAAATCGCTTCTGGTCAGCAGAGGGCAGCAGTGCTTTGCTGGGGGGGAAAAGCACCAGCTTGATGGACTTGCTTTCGGGTCGCCAGTCTGGTTTGGTTTAAACTCAAACAGAAACACTCTCTGGTGTAGCTTGTCCCAGCTGGACTGAATAAGCACAGGAACTTCAGAAAGCTGATTTCCTGGGTTCAGTTTGCCTTGCACACTAAACATTGGTGGGTAAAAGAGGATGATAGAGCTGTGTGAGAGACATGAGCTTGTGATGAGAATTCAGGATTTGACCCTAGTAAAGGAGTGGAGTGAAGAGGAGCCCTTCTGGCTGGGTTTCCATGAGCAGCTCTCATAGGAGGGTTGGGATTCAGACAGTCAGCTTCAGCACTGGGACTGCAGTGGATGGTGTTAATAGAATTTTCGTTCCCATTTTGTCTGGTAACTGAAGCTCTCTGGACAGTTTACAACCATTTCCCCTCCATTTGGGGAAAATGCCCGTGCCTAAGGTCTGGAGGGCACAAAATTCTACTTCCAGTTTCAGGCTCCTCGTGTCTTACTTCTGGGCTCAGTTCTCCATCCTGTGAAATGGAAGAGGGATCCCAAGGAGAGAGAACGCATCAGCCTTCTCCAGCCTCGCACCCTCCAGCTGTGCTGGACAGCAGCTACCAGCATGCCCTTGAGTTTGTTCCATACCAGGGGGCTGCCACTAATAAGACCCCGCTGTTGCCTCCAGCCAAGCCTTCTTCAGAACTGGCTCAGGGAAGCAGACCCAGACCGTGGTCCTAATGTTGTGGTTGGGAGCAGTGTTCCATCAGATACTTTGGCCAAGATGTCTAGCACATTCTTTCCTCAGCTGTCAAGCTCCAGGCACCTGATTCTGGGACTGTGTCTCTTCCCTTCCCGGGTGGGAATTACCTCAGTCTTTTTCTTCCACTCCTGATGGGTTTTCCTTTCCTTCCTTTAGTTTCTCATCCTTTCCTTCCATGAGCTGCTTTGCATAATTTAATGCCAAAAAGAGGTGTTGCTATAAGTGTCAGAAAGGCCCTGGCTATATTATGCATTTATATCTGCTTCATTGGTTTTTTTCTTCCAAGAAATGCTGGGAACTAGAAATTTGTGATAAGGAAAGGAGTCTGTCACAGGGAATTGTCAGCCCGCAGCCAGAACTACAGCTCCCAGGAAGATCTGACTGGAACGCATATTTTAAAATGGTTAAAATAGATGCTGGATTTGTAGCACATGATTTGAGCCTATGAATTCATATGAAAGTAATCTGCAGGAGAGGACGCAACTGGCAAGCAGAGGTGGCACACATGAAAACCGTGCCTGGCACTGGGTGACAGTAGATGCCACTTTTGCAAGTGTTCACCTTCTTTCCAAAGAGAATTCTCCCCTTGCATCCAACCGATGTTTCCAGGGAGGGCCAAGCCTGTTTTCTGAAAGAAAACCTTTATGCTTTTATTTTTGGAGGGTGCCATGCAGGGCATCCCCTGCCTGGTTCGTGGGAGAAAGATGTCCTTGACCCCAGAAAACATTCAGGCACAGTCTTCCACCTCTCGGCATCTACCTCCTTCCTCAGCTTGTTTTAATTTCTATAATGGATGGAAGAGGAGCCATGCCAAGTTCTGCCACTAGGAACAGCGCAAGCCATTCAGAAAAATTATCTGAAAGCGAGCGCACTCACATAACCCTACTGAAGATGGCTACCTTTCCCCCCTCTGTTGCTGCTTCAGCGGAACCCCTACGCCCTTTTTACTGGTCCCGCTGCATCTTTACCTGCATCCTGACATGCAGAAATGGAGCCATTGAAACTTTGCCTGCTGTTGAGCGTCAGTGTATGGGGCAAACCTCACAACCAGAATTTATGTGAAGCTTCTTCTGGCATATTTTCCCCATTTCCCTTTTTGGCACACAGCTCGTTGGCCCCAGGTGGAGGTCTGGCAAGTGGGAGTCCGGATGGTTCAACCCCCTCGGGCTGCTTCTTCACCCTCCCAGGCTTTTAGGCAAGGAGCAGAGTTCCAGAATGAGGCACTGCTAGTGTAAGAAGCAGGATAAAATGTGAAGAGCCCAGAATCGGGCTGGCACTGCTACCTGGCATACATGGGCAGGCGTCAGGGCACCTTGGCCCCGGGAAGGCCCACCCCTGATCCCTGCCCTCCCAGCTTTAATTTTTTACCCTGCTTTTGATCGCATCATTCTAGGACACTGGAAACTGAAAGGGTTTCTAGAGCCACTCCATCATTTTGGTAAATCAGTATAAAAGCAGGTAAGTCACAAACCCTCAGAGGTTTTGAGCCTCTGTACAGCAACTTCCTGTTCGAAAGAACAACATGCCTCTCTCCCGGCTTACTTCCAAGCGGTATGAGCTTTAAGGAGGAGGCTTGTCTGGGGGGAGACTTCAATTTGGACAGCAGCCCCTCTTGCATTTGGCCCAGCCCACCGCTGGAGCGGGGCCCCCCAAGAGCTGCTTCGAGGAGGAATTTGGCTCTCGGACTGAAAGAGGTTCCTATCCTGCCAGGGTGGATCCCCCCCCCCCCGTGTGCCCCTCTGCACCTCCCAGGAAAGGAGCACATGACGGCTGGCGAGGGGATGCA